CCGCAATCCCTTCTCCTCCATTCTCCTCTCGGGATCTTGGGCATGCACGCACACTTGCCTGGCGTGAGTTTAAGCCACCAGGTCTGGGACTTGAACCGCAGTCAATTACATGGAAGCCCAGCGACATAGCCATTACGCTAACTGCTGGTCCCAAATAAAATAATTATTAAAAAATATATGTTCTCTCTTTTACTTTTTTTTTTGGAGGAGGTGTGCAGTTGCCAGAGAGACTGAGAGACAGAAAGTGAGAAATCAGCCCACAGGGAGATGGCCACAATCCCTTCTCCTCCATGCTCCTCTGGGATTTTGAGCACACGTGTACATAGGTCCAGCATGAGTTTCAAGCCACCAGGTCCAGGACTTGAGCAACAGCTATGTGGGAGTCCAGTGACATAACCACTCTTCCATCACCTCTGCTGGTCTCTCTTTTTATATCTTTATTTTATAAGCTTTTTCTATCCTTTTTTGTTTGTTTGTTTATTTTAGTTTTTTTGCCACAGAATGCATGCACTCACTAGAGAAAGACAGAGACAGAGAAAGACAGAGGGAAAGTGAGAGATCACTCCCCCAGGGGGATGGTCACACCACAATACCTTCTTCTCCTGGAATTTTGAGCACCCATGCACATGTGCCCAGTGTGATTTCAAGCTGCTGGGTTGAACCATGGTCAGCCATGCAGGAGTCCAGTGCTTTAACCACCACACCACCCGCTGGCCCTACTTTATCTACTTTAAAATTTTTAATTTTTTTTCTATTTTTGCTTTTTAAACATTTTGTTAAAAACTAAAACACAAATGCACACATTAATGTAGGCCTACTCAGGGTCAGGATCATCAATACCACTGTCCTCTAACTCCACATCTTATCCCTCTGGATGGTCTTCAGGGGCAATACTTTGCAAGGCTTCGTCGTCTCCTATGTCAACAATGTCTTCTGCAGAACCTTCTGAAGGATCTGCCTGAGGCTCTTGTTGAGATATCACTCTTTTCAGAAATATGTGTGCAGAGGTTTGCTTGGTTGGCTTCTTTTTTGCATCATAAATTTTCTTGTAAGCAGATAATGCATCATGAACATTGTTCTGCTAATGAATACCTTTTAGTATTGGGTTCATGTTTTCAAACTTAAGGAGCCTGTTGAGACTAATTTTGGACTTGTCAATATTTCTTCTTTTGTTCCCTCATCAACTTGTAAAACCTGTTTATAATTCAAGATTTTTTTCAATGTTTTTCTGTGTTTTCTGTTTCAAAAAGTGGACAGTTTTTAAATTCTTTCTGTATGTTTTCTAATTCATTAATTTATTTTATCCATATTTATGCTTTCTTCAGCTCTTTTTTTAATTAATAATTTTCATTAACAAAAACATTCTTACAATGTGATTTTTTGGGTACATGAATACAATGCATAATGATTAGATCAGGGTAATTATTAAACCCAGCATCTCAGATATTTGTAACATTATATACTACTGTATTTTATAACACTAGACATTGTTCCATCTATCTACCTGCAGTTTCGTTTCAGTTAATCAGCATCTCTTTTCCACCCACTGCCATCCTTCCCAGTGTCCAGGGGTCATTCTACATCTCTCTGCTTTGATGAGGTCATTTTTTCCAGTTTCTAAATATGAAGGAGAACACGTGGTATTTGTCTTTTTCAACTATTTTTTGGCGTATTTCACTTAACATGATGTCCTCCAGGCTCATGGTTCAAAATGGGTAGTGTCTTGACTTTTTCATCACTAACTCATGATGTGACCTACTTGGGCTGGTAAGTCAATACTCTCTTCTATCTGCCTCACATTGTCAAAGGCATTGTTCTGTTTTTCCTCATCCATTCCTTTTAGTCCTAGTGTTTTTCATAGAGGTTAATACCTTTGGCCAGTCCTGCATATTTTACAGGAAGTGTAGCTAACAGATCCTGGGCAAGTGTTCTAACATGCTAAGTCTCCTTCATGGATCACACTTTACATCACGTACAGGGTTGTGAGAATCAGAGTTTTGTTAACTGTTGTTAAGGGTGTTGTACTCCCACATGGTCGACTGCAATTCAAGTCCTGGACCTGGTGGCTTGCTTTCTCACTTCCCCTCTCTCTTTCTTTACCTCTTGTTCTGTCCCTCTCTGGTCAAATTTAAATAAATAAATAAAGTTAAATAATTTCTTTTTATGTAATTTCTTTTTAAAAAATTACATAATGTAATTGTCTTCTCGATTCTTTGCTATCTCAGTTATTTAGTACCACTTGATGATGTCTGGAAGATTACTTATCTCCATACTGAAAGTGCAGTCCTAGTATTTTCCTTTTGTCACGTTCAGATTATGGCTGTTGACCCAATTTTTAAACATCTTTGAAGACATTTATTTTATACTGTCATCTCTTCAAAAGTCCATTCCAATGACCTAAGCCTATAAAATTAGTAAGTCACTCATGCTTCAGATTCAAAGATGAAGAAAAAATTATTTAGATTGCCCAAAAAACATCCCTTCAGTTGCTTGACAATATACTTGTTCTTATATTTGTCAGCTCTGAAATAAAATGTAAAACCACTTGTATTCTAGATTAAAATATACCAAAAGTATAGATGCTTGCATGTGATAGTTTTATATTGGATTGTCAGGAAAGTCATGAGCCATTTTGCATAGAAAAATACATCATAACTTTCCCAATGACCTAATATATTTCTCTTTACCCATTAGACATGCCTATTTAAAAGCTATAAATGATCATATTTGTTTTTGAGGTGAGAAATATGAAATGCCACTTTAACTTGCACAATATTTTTTAAAGAATTATTTATTTAATTTTGGGGCCAGCACATGGCATGGTGGATAAAGACACTGGATTCTCACATGGTCAACACCAGTTTGAGTCCTGGACCTGGCAGCATTTTTTCTCACTTTTCCTTTCTCTCTCTGGTCAAATTAAAAAATAATAATAACAAATTTTAAATAAATAAATAAATAAAATTGAAAAAATAATTATTTATTTCATTTTATTTACTATTTTTTTTTTTAATTTGACCCGAGAGAGAGAAAGGGAAAAGTAAGAAAGCAAGCTGCTAGGTCTGGGACTTAAACCACAGTTGGCTATATGGGGGTCCAGCACCTTAACAAGTATGCCACCTGCCAGCCCTGTACTGCACAATCTTTATATAACTGAGGTCCTTATTTCCATTATCATGGAAAAATTCTTGGTCATTAACTCTTCAAGTATTTCTTACTCCTTATTCTTTCTCTCCATTTTTTTTTTTTGTGCTCCAATTACACATATGTTAGATTGATTATAAACAGTAGGCCTCAGAAGCTTTGTTCACTTTTTTCAATAATTCTCCTCTTTATATTTTAGTTTAGATACTGTGTATTCAAGTTCACTGAGCATGTCTTCTACTCTGTCTCTGTTAAGCCCAGATACTAAAATCTTAGTTACTAATAATATATATTTTCAGTTATAACATTTCCATTTGCTTCTTTTCTACAGTATCTACTTCTGGGATAAAACCTACGTGCATGTTGTTGCCTTCTCTCCCACCCTAAGCTCGTAACATATATACTATTGTTATATTAAAATCCTTGTCTGGGACCAGCAGGTAGCGTGGTGGTTGAGGGCATTAGACTCTTGCATGGTTGACCACAGTTCAGGTCCCCGAATCTGGTGGCTTGCTTTCTCACTCTTCCTTTCTCTTTGTCTGCCTCTCTCTGTCAAAATTAAAGAAGAAGAAATTTTAATAAATTTAACATAAATAAATCTTAAAAAAACCCTTGTCTTCTAGTTCCAGCATTCTTTCCATCTGTGCATCTGTTTATATTAACTATCACATTTTCCTGCTTCTTGATGTGTCTTCCAATTACAGGAGACTCAGTAAACTAATACACTGCCCATCTACTTCTCAACTGGTTCTGAACTCTGGAGAAGAGAAGTGTGCTATATATTAGGTACACTAAAATTCCCCAACTGCATGCCAACCAGTAGTGTTTAATAATTGTAGAATGAATGCATTAACATTTTTTAATAAGATAAATCTAAAAATACAAAATTTTTTTCTAATATATGTCTTAATTTCTTTGTTCAACAATATAATATCCTCAGAGTTTAGACCATCAACAGAAATAACCAACTCTGCAGAAATAATAGTTAATGCAGTTTATTTCTAAACACAAATATGTGTGACTGACCCACAGAAAGGTAAACATACTTTTCTCAAGGTGATCAGATATAGGGGTTAATTTTATTTGATTTTGAGAGTGAGAGACAAGGTTTGGAATTTAGTAAAAAGAGTTCTTTCATTGCTCTGCCCAAAAAAGGTGGGACATCTGGAAGGCAGGGGGCTTGTGGGCCATATGTGGGTTTTACAATACTTAGGTTGGTAATTGGAAAGGAAGGTCTGTGTTTTGAAAAGGCATCAGGAAAGAGAGTACTTTAACAGAGATAAGGGGACTTGTATACCTCACAAGATATTGTCCTAAGAACAGGATGTAGTAAGAGTCCTGTTGTCAGAAGGGCAAAGATGGTCTGTTAATGTTTGTGGGCATGACTCATCCCAGGCCCTCTGGAAGGGATCTTGGAAAACAGGGAAAAGCAGTCAGACTTCTGTCCTCAATACTGTGGCATTAGCATCATCTGTAGCTATCTCTGTGATTGACCATGATATCCTCGGGAGAGAAGTTTATGCCACATCATTAAAGGTAAATACAGGTCATAAACAATTAGATGGGAAGACATGGCTTCTCTGAACATAGATCAAACTCAGATGGCCTTTACTTTGGCACAGACAAGGCAGCATAATGTAGGAGCGAAAGCCACAGCTCTAAAGTCATATCACTTTGTTTTGAATCCTGTTTCTACAACAGAATGACCCGAAAAATTAATATTTTCATGGCTAACTCTCTTTATTGAAAAGCAAGATAGGGCCAACCTTAAGCATGATGGTTAAGGCAGATGGATCCCACATGGCCAACTACATGGTTTGATTCCCAGAACCAGCTGCCTGGAAAAATACCCTAGATGTGTACATGTGCATGCCCAAAATCCTGGAAAAAAAAAAAAAAGGAGAAATAAGAGAGAAGGGATTGCAAAGTGACCATACAGCATGGAGGGCTCTCCCTCTCTCTCTCTTCAATGAGCATGCACATCTTCTGGTACATTATTTTTTTAAAAAGAAAAGAAAGCACAGTAAGATAATGTTGGGGTTTTGGTGAAGACTACATGAGGTAAAACATGTAAAGCACTTGGACCACCAAATGACGTGTGACAACTAATAAATGTTATCTGTTGGGTTATTGAGGGGCTCAATAAATAACATTTCTCTTTCCTGCCAGGATTCTAAGTTGTTTCAGAATTAAAATGGTAGAATCATTGAAACTTTGATGTTTCAAAGTAACACCTGTGCAAAGATAAGGCTAGGCTGGAAAATTTAGCTTATTTTGAAAGTAATAGGGTCCTGATCTCCTATTTCAGTGGTCCTCAGAGTGTGTTCTAGTGTCATTGGTCTCACCTGGAAACTTGCTAGAAATGAAAATTCATGAGCCCTGCCTCAGATTCACTTATTCAGAACCTCTGAGGGTGGGACCCAGCAATCTCTGTTTTCACACACTCTGAGAGTTTGACATCCACTGTCTTCGCCTTCCCATTCCAGAGCATGGAGACACTCAACCTAGAGAAAGATCATTGAATCAGAAGCCCCTTCTCATGGGCCAGATGCAGAAGGGAAAGAAAAGAGAAGGAAAGTGCATTTCACTAGACCATGACTAAGAATGTTCCAAACTGACAATACATGTCAAGGAAGAGTAAGAGGTAACGACTAGAGTTAGTGCTTTAAGGAGTTTTGCTATAAAGGGAATCAAATAAATAAATAAAGGTGGTTGCTTAGAAGCATATGGAATCAATATGAAAGTTATCATTGGGATTAGCTGGGTAATTTCTTCATGGACTTATGTATCTCTTAAAGATGACTGCTAGGGAAATACTGATAATTCTCATAATTCAGAATTTTTGTTGGTGCGGTTTGGGCCATAGCATCGTGCAAATAAGTATACATTTTAGTTCAGGAGTAAAAATGATTTAATAAACTAAAGTTTGTTGAAGCTGGTCACTACATATGCTCATTTAAGATTCCTAGGTTTAGAGCCAGCAGGTGATGTGGTGGTTAAGGCACTGGATTCCCACATGGCTGATCGTGGTTCAAGTTACAGACCTAGCAGCTTGAAAATCACACTGGGCATGTGTGCATACATGCTTGAATTCCTGAGAGGATAATGAACAAAGGATTGTGGTGTGGCCATCCCCCTGGTGGGGGTGATTTTTCACTTTCCCCCTCTCTGTCTCTCTCTGGTGAGCACACACACCCTATGGCAAAAACCTAAGAATTTTTTAAATAAATAAATAAAGAAGATTCCTAGGTTGAGAAATTAGGTGTTATTATCTCCATTTTATAGAGATTAAGTCACAGGTCCCAAATTGAGAGTAAAAAATTTTAAAAAGGCATTCTGATTTTTTCATGCAGTTATTTTCATATATGCCAGGTCTTCTATAAACTATGGAGAGTTTACAAGACTCTTAAATCAAGGTTGGATGCCTAAGAGCCTATATTAATCTCAACAAAGGGGACATAAATAATGAATCATACGGCATTTTCATTTATTGAAGAGGTGAATCAATATCAGCAGCAACACATTATTATTACTGAGTCACAAAAGCTCAGATATCAAATATCACAATAAATGACAGTATGACTGCCTAAGCTTTATCTCTGTTGCTTTTATCCCCTTCAGTAAGTCCAGAAGAAATCAAAGGATTTATTGGATTGGATAAAGGGCATTTTAAAAAGACTTGGAGACAGGAAGATATTTTACTCTTATTGGACTTTGTTCCAAATCGGCCCAATTTGGTTAATGACAGAGCTGTGTATTACATAGAGGAGAAATCTTCAAAAGCATCTGCCTTCATGGTAAAAACCCTCCTGGGGCAACGAGTCTAGTTGGAGCCAGCTCTTCCACTTCGCCACATTCTTCTCCTCTTCCTTCTCTGTCTCCTCTTCCTTCTCCCCCTTTTTCTTCTTTTATAAATAAACTCATACTTTAATTCCACTTGTCTACAAATTTATTTTTCTCCATTTATGATAGAGCATGTACAAATGCGCATGAGAAAGTGACAGAGAGAGCGAGGCACTCTCCACAGGGTCTGTATGCATGATCCCTCGTCCCCCAGGCTTCAGCCGGTCAACTCGTGCTCACTCATGTGCTTCCCTTTGAGTCTCAGGCTGACTGGACCAAGGATTTGAACTGCAGTGGCCATTTGGGTTGCAGTGTCTCTTGAGCAACACAGTACCACTGCAATAGGCATGCAGCTAGCTCGTCCCCTCTTCTTACCACTACCTCTAGAGAGGAAAACTGGAAAACTCAGACATGGAGAGAAGCCCCTCAAAAATGGACTTGATGGGAGGTGAAATAGTTGTGCTCAGGAAGGGCTGAACACTTCATTTTGGACATATTCTTATGCCACTATTGAAGAATCTTATATCAAGATTTAATACTAATTAGTTGCTTATACAGTTGACAAAGTTCATTTTCCTCTTCCTTCCTTAATGAAACTCCGTAAAGATACCACAGCCTCAAGACACTAGGAAAAAAAACTGCTAAATTATCTCCTTCCCTCTGTCTCCAGCCCTACCATACTACTACCTTTGAAGAGCTGGATGAGTGGGTACAAGAAGAATAAAGCTCAGGAAGCAGATTTTCCAGGTAGGCCTATTTTTTTGTTTTTAATTTTTATTCATTGTCATTATTTATTTATTTATTTTAAGTTGGCCAGTGAGAGACAGAGGGAGAGAAGGAAAGTGAAAAAGCAAGCTGCCAGGTTCAGGACTAAGACCACTGTCAGCCATGTGAGAGTCCAGCCGCCTTAACCACCGCACCACCTGCCGGACCCCTGTTTGGTTTTTTTTATTTAACTTTATTATTTATTTATTTATTTATTTATTTGTTTTAATTTGACCAGAGATGGACAGAGTGAGAAAAAGAGAGAAAGAGAAAATGAGACAGCAAGCCACCAGGTCCAGTACTCAAACTGTGATTGGCCATGTGGGAGTCCAGCACCCTTAACCACCACACCACCTACTGGCCACTTCCCAGCTGGATCTGTTTTGAAGCTGGAGAGAATTAGCTGCAGTCTACTGTCCCACCTGGCATTAGTCTTCTTGTAGTTGAGGACAGTAGGAGGAAACCATGAAGCGCTCAGGTCTTGCTTTCATCTGAAGGCTAGATCAAGTTCTTACGGCAAGGGCGGTAGTTCAGCTCCTTAGCCAAGGCTGGGAGATGGGATTGGGACAGCCTTGGATAGGTAATGTTGAGGGCACTGGATTTGAAGACACAGATTACCTGTGTGTCCTTAGCTAAGTTATTCATTGAATAAAAAAATAGTCATCTCAGTTTCCTGCTCGCTGCATTCTACCCTCCTGTGGATAAACAAGCTCACAATAAAGAGATACTTTATGGGAGCAGACAGAGCCACAGCTAAAAAATTCAATGCTCTGCAAGGCTGATCCACATGTGAAGGTCCTGAGATCGTGTCCAGAGACTTCTCCGAATGTGCCAGGCACACATGCCTATGATCCAGGCTGAATGAAATTGGTGGTGGATCATGGCACCAAGACCCTGTTGGGGATGCTGTCTGTTACTTTCTCTCTACATCATCCATAGATGAAATAAGTTTAAAAACTTCAAAATAAACCCAAAAAACAAAAAACAAGAAAACAGTGACCACAGCTGGCCTGGTGGTTGGGGCACTGGACTCCCACATGGCTGACTGGGTTTGAGTCCCAGTCCTGAGAGCTTGAAATTCACACTGGGTACAAGTGTGTGTGTGTGCCCAAAACCCTCAGAGGAGAACAGAGAAGGGAATGTGGTGAGGCCATCCCCCCAGGGGAGTAATTTCTCACTTTCTGTCTCTCTATCTCTCTGTCTCTCCAGTGAGCGCACACACCTTATAGCAAAAATCTCTCTCTAAAAAAAAGAAAGAAAGAAAGAAAGGAGGCACTTTGGCTTGGATCCTGACAATACCAACCCCAAGGAACAAAAGATGGAGCCAAAAAACATGTCAAATAAAATGGAGTCAAAATGTTACAAATGTCAGGGCCAGCAGATGGCATAGTGGTTATGCTGCTGGATTCACACATGCTGATTGTGATTCAAATCCTGGATCCAGAGGCTTGAAAATCACGATGGGCTGGACCAGCAGTTGGTGTAATGGTTATGTCACTGGACTCTCATGTAGTCGACTGTGATTCGAGTCCCAGCCCCGGCAGCTTGAACTCATGCCAGGTGCATGTGCATGCATACCCAAGATCCCGAGAGGAGAATGAAGAAGGGATTGTGGCATGGCCATCCATGCTTTCTTGCTTTCTGTCTCTGTCTCTCTCTGTATTTCTGGCGAGCACACACGCCCTATAGCAAAATCCTCTCTGGAAAAAAAAAAAAAAAAGATAAAAAATAAAATCATGATGGTTGTGTGTGCATGCATGCCCAGGAAGAGAATGTAGAGAAAGAATTGCAGCGTGGTCATTCTTCCTGAGGGGTGATTTTTCACTTTCCCCTCTCACTCTCTCTCTCTAAGCTCACGTGCCCTGTGGCAAAAACCTCTTAAGAAAAAAGGTTGCAAGTGAGTAAGGAGGTATGTAGTGGACAAAAGGACAGAGTTTATAGTAATTCTAGTCCAAGAGCAAGGTCTGCATAAAACGCTGGTGCATGGGATCTAACCAAGGTGGTGCTGCACAATGTTGGAACCCATGGGAAGGCCAAGCGTTCAGACTCTGGTCAACCTGAACACAGCAGGTGAACCTTGGGAGCTGACTAGAAGGCTGAGGGGAAGACTGTATCATGACCAGACCCTGTCAGGATTTCTGTCTCTCTCATAAAGGAAGAAATGAACTTTTAAAAAAAGTTTGTGGAGCCAGATCAGCAGGTGACACAGAGGATAAGGTGACTGGATCCCACATGGCCAACTCTGAGGTTTGAGGCTTGGAGCCAGAAGCTTGAAAATCATACAGTGGACATGTGTGCCCAGAATCCTAAGAGGAGAAGAGACTGTGGTGTGGCCATTCTCCTTGGGGCATGATTTCTTACTGTCCTTCTATCTGTCTCTCTACTTCTCTCTGGTGAGTGTAAGTACATTATGGCAAAAATCTAAAAAAAAAAGTCTGTGGGGTCACCAGGTGGCATGGTGGTTAAGGTGCTGGATTCCACATGACTCATTGGACAATTTGAGTCCCAGATCTGAGGGCTTGAAAAACACACTAGGCATGTGTGCATGTGTGCCCAAAATGCTCAAAGGCTAACAAAAGACAAGGGATCATGGCATAGCCATGCCTCGGGGTGTGATTTCTCACTTTTTCTCTTCTGTCTCTCCCTAGCAAGTACACATGGAAAAAAGAAAGAAAAGGAAAAGAAAAAAATGTCTCTACATGGGCCTGTCTGGAACATTAAAAATGTCCAATGCTGATAGTTCTAAGGATTATGGGAAGGTGAAGAGTATTCTTTGGCCTGTAGAATTACAGAATTCTTCTGTTGAATGACTAAGAATTCAAATGTTTATTGGATAGCTTGAAAGCAACTAGAGAAAATGCTAAAGTTTATCTGGTACACCAAAAATGAAATTCATGGTGGTAACCATACGAATAACATTGGCTCACCTTTTCTATGATCCTGTTGTGATTTAGGACATTTAAAGAAACTTAAAATAATTTACAACAAATTGAAGCTTTTGGGACTCTTTTTCCAAAGTTTTAAGGATCTTTGTCCTTGGGGCCAGCAGGGCATAGTGACTTTAAGGTGCTAAACTCCCATATGGCTGAGTGCAGTTCAAGTCCTGGACCTGGCAACTTGCATTTTCATTTCTCTCTCTTATATTTCTCTCTCTGTCTCTCTCTGGTGAGAACATGTGCTGTATAGTAAATGAAAGGGATAAATTAATTGGTTAAATTAAATAAATTCTTTTTTTAAAAGAATTTTTTATTTAACTTCATTTGTTTATTTATTATATTATTTTTTAATTTGATCAGAAAGGGACAAAGAGAGAGAGAGAGAGAGAGAGAGAGAGAGAGAGAGAGAGAAAGAGAGAAAGAAAAGGTGAGAAAGCAAGCTGCCAGGTCCAGGACTCAAACCGAGGTCGGCCATGTGGGAGTCCAGTGCCCTCAACAGCCATGACACCTGTCAGCTCCACAAATAATTCTTTAAAAAAAACCACTTTGTCTTCTGTATTTAAAATACAGGAAGACCTTAATCAACTGATTGAAATTAACCTTACCAGTAATGGGATGAACAAACATTTCATGCTTCCTGATATGATGAACCAGGAAAAACATAATCGTCTTTCAGTATCCATAGGGATTTAGTTCAAGGATTCCCACAGATACCCAAACCCCAGGTTTTTAGATCTTTTATATAAATAGCATGGTATTTGCATATAACTTACACACATCCTTCCACAACTTTTTAAAAAAGAATTATTTAATTTTGTTTATCATTATTATTTTTTAATTTGAACAGAGAGAGAGAGGGAGAAAGAGAGAGAGGGAAAGTGAGAAAGCAAGCCACCAGGTCCAGACTCGAACCATGGTCAGCCATGTGGGAGCCCAGTGCTTCAACCACCATATTATCTGCTGGCCCCATCCTCCCACAACTTTAAAAATATATATATATATTTTAGGTTTTTGCAATAGGACATGTGCACTTGCAGGAGAGACAGTGATAGAGAGAGGAAAGTGAGAAATCACTCCCTGGAGGAGATGGCCACACTCAATCCCTTCTCCTCCATTCTCCTCCCAGGATTCTGGGCATGCACACATACACACCTGGCATGATCTTTAAGCTGCTGGTCTGGGATTCCAGTTATGGTCAACTATGAGGGAGTCCAACACTTAACCACCACACCATATGCTAGCCCTGACCTCCCATATACTTTAAGTCATCTCTAAATTAGTTATACTGTCTATTATGATGTAAATATGTAATTGTTGTGTTGTCTTAAAATTTATATTATTTAATTTAATTTATTAATTGACAGAAGGCATGGGGCTAGCCAGAGAGAGAGACAGAGAGAGGGAGAAAGAGAAAGCACTTCTTAGTGGCAATTGGTCACACCATAATTCCTTTTTTCCCATTCTTTTGGGATTTTAGGCATGAATGCACATGTGGCTGTCATGATTTACAATCCACCAGGACTGAGATTTGAACCACTGCCAGCTGTGTGGGATCTGGCTCCCTCAACTACTAGGTTATAGACTGGCTCTATATTATCATTATTTTTAAATTATTTACTTATTTATTTACATTTTATCACATGTCTTTACAGTATACATTTCTTTTTCCAACACAAATACCATCATCAATTGAGACAAGGGTATTACTATATACATAATCATCAGCAAATAGTTTCTCATTTTTTGTCAGTTAAGCATACTTTTACCCATTTGTATTATTTTAATTGCTACATTGTTATTTTGAAATTATTTCCTGGGGCCAGCAGGTGACATGTGGTTAAGATGCTGGACTCCCACATGGCTCACTGCAGTTCAAGTACAAGACCTGGTGGTTTGAAACTCACACTAGGCATGTGTGCACATGTGCTCAAGATCCTGAGAAGAGAATGGAGAAAAAGGGACTGAGGCATTGCCATCCCTTCTGGTGATAATTTCTCATTGTCTCTCTGTCTCTGTGGCAAGTGAACACACCCTATAATAAAAATCTCTCAAAAAATTATTTTTTCCAAATGTCATTGATCTATGGTTGGTTGAATTATGGGAGAGAAAACCATGAACATAGATGAGCATTTGTAACATCACTTCTGTGGTATTCCTGCCAAAAATGCATAACTTGAATATAATCGTAAGAAAACAGACAAACTCAAACTAAGGGACATTCTACTGTGAGAGAGGGGGAACTAGTCTTGTTCTTTAGATATCAAAAAATCATGAAGAACAAGGAAAGACTGAGATTGAGAAATTGTTGAGGATTAAAGGAAATACCACAGCTAACTGTATGGAATACTATTCAGCCATAAAAAACCAGACCCTGGCATTTGATAGAAAGTGGTCAAATATAGAAGATTTATGAGTGAAGCTATGAAAGAGAGGTATTGTATGTCTCCAGTTAATATATACCAATTTTCCACACTCTATGGTAGAGATTAAGATTGGAGGACATTAAAACAGTGAAAATAGTTATAGACACTGGAGACAGTAAGGAGGGAGAATGGGAGAAGGGAAGAGTACAGGGAAGGAAATCAGGGAGAAAAAAAAAGACGCAAGACATTTGTGGGACATAGAAATGGTTTATTGACTGTTGATGATAACGTGTATCGTGTTCTCAACTGAACTGGTCTGAGATGTATTTCATGTTGGGTACATTCTCTTTACAAGCCAGAAAGTAAAAAATTATGTTACTGATATCCAAATAGATGCCCCCCCCAAAAGATTACCAATTCAATAAAATCAGTAAAACAACTCAAGATAAGATATAAATGAGAAATTTGACAAAACAATAGCTGTCATAAAGAAAAAATAATATATCCTGGAGATATATTATTTACTTATTTAAATTTTATTTATTTGTTTGTTTGTTTACATTTAATCATGTCTTTACAGTGTACAACATTTCTTTTTCCAGTGTATGTCAGTCAAGACAAAGTTATTACTCTATACCTTATCATCAGCAAATAGTTTCTCCTTTTTTGTCAATTAAGCATACTTTTACTTATTTTTTCTTCTCCTTTCTTCTCCCTCACTTCCATACTGAACTTTTTTTTTCACATTTTACTGATTCACAAACTATCTTAAATAAAAATATGGAAAAAGCTAGAATCTAGTGACAAGTGCACTGTAATTTTCTTCTGAAACATTTTTTTCTCTCTCCATTCCCTGTTTTACTAAAGAGAGGTATAAACTAATTTATTTGCCAAAAAATTTTTAGTTAATCTCAATTTGGTCTCTTATTTGCAGAAAGCCTAATAAGAATTCAACTTCTGATGCAAGGCAACAGATAACTATTGTATTATTGAATTTATGCAAATAGCCATTCTGTCACAAAATAAGAATGCTCAGAAATATTTTCCAATTGCAAAGGGTTCAGGAAGGGAGAAAAGTTTCTGTTTCAATAAAAAAAATTAACAAATTGCTGAACCTATCAACAACTCATATGAGAACCCAAATCCTTAAATCTAGAAGACAAAGCATAGAAGAAAATCAGTAATGTTTTAGACAAAAGTCACAGAATTCTGTTTCATCCAGTTCAGTCTTATGCAATCTCAGGCTCTACAAAATATAGAGCTGAATTTGCAGTGTTACTGTGGTCTGATCTGTCTATTAAAATCCTGGAAGTTAACATTCAACATTATTATTGATAGTTCCAAACTTGTCCCTACCATTAAGTTGGCCTTTCCCTAGGTCATTTTTGTTCTCTTATTTCTGTCTATCTTTAGCTTTTCTGGTATAGCACTCCCTTCAGAACTTCTCAAAGAGCTGGTCCAGTGTTGATAAATTCTTTTAGGTTTTGTTTATCTAAGAATGTTTCGGGCTTTTCTTCCCATATGAAGGATATTCTTGCTGGATATGATATTCTTGGCTGAAATTGTTTGTCACTTAACACTTTGAATATATTTTTCCATTCTTTCCTCATTAGCATTGTTTCCGATGAGAAGTCTGCTGTTAGCCTGATGGGATATCCTTTGTAGGTAACTTGCCGTTTCTCTCTTGCCAATCTTAGTATCTTGTCTTTGTCTGTGGTATTTGTCAATCTGGCTATAATGTGTCTTGGAGAAGATCTTCTTGTGTTGATTCTATTTGGGGTCCTTTGTATGTCTTGGGACTAGATCTTTGAATGCCTTTCTAGGTTTGGAAAGATTTCTTCCAGGATTTCATGAAGTAGATTATCAATGCCCTTAGTTTCTTCACCTTCTGGGATAGTGATTATCTGGATGTTTGGGTATCTAATGGTATCTAGCATTACTCATATATTATTCTCATTTTTGGGGTTATTTTCTCAGTCTTTCTAGATCAGAGATCTTCTACATCAGAGATCCAATCTTCTACATGATTTAATCTGCTTTTAATACTTGTAAGGGAGGTTTTGATTTCTTGTATTACAGCGTTCATCTGTAACAATTCCACTTGATTCTTTTTGTATGGTATGTATTTCCTCTTTCAGATCATCCAATAACTTTCTCACCTCCTGGAACTCATTGTCTCTTTTCTCCTACATCTTCCGGAGTTCATTGTCTCTCTTCTCTTCCATCTCTATTAGCTTTGTCACTATGCATATCTTAAAATCTTTACTTGACATTTCTGCGAGTTCCAGTGTACTGTCTGTGGAAGATGAAGGGCTGTTCTTTCCTCTAAGGAGAGAGACATTTTCTTAGTTTCCCATATTTCTTGTGCCTCTGGCAATTTCCTGTCATCTAATGGATTATATGTTACTGTCTACCTTCTGAGTGTTAGAGGTGTGTAGGAGAAGATAACCTGCAATATTTTTGCAGTTCTGTTTCCCTGATCTTCATCAAGCAACCTGCACTTTTGTAGATGGAACTGGATATTACAAAGTCCTCACAGTTTCTAAAGAAACTGGGCTGAGTTGAGGAGTTTTAATTAAGAATTCAGAGGTGTGTGAGAGGAGATGAGCTGCACTCACTACAGCCCGTGTTTCTCCCTACTGTGTTTCTCACTTTGCAGTCTCTCTTCTCTGACTTCTAGTCATTTAGTGGTATATTTGCATTTGGCTAATTTGTTGGAGATTCCTCCTACTGTAAGCTCATATACTTCACTTAACTGTGAGGCACTTTGATGCCTATTTTGCCTCTATTACTGTGTTTTGCAATGTGGTATCCACAGAAAGAGATTTGAATTCAGATTTATGAAGATGAGTTTCTCCCTTTCTGTAGCAGTTCAGTGGGGGTAGAGGTTTTCTATGACCTTAAAAGTATTCAGATGTTTCACTAGTATGCAGCTACACCAGACTAGACCCTCAAAGTGTGGAAGCTTGCTTTGCTAGGAGATGGGCCGGAAAGAGAGCTTTGGGGCAGAGGCTTAGGGTTTCTGGCTAATGGGGCAGAGCTGGGCCTACCTCAGATGCACACGGATTCTTGCTTTGCTAGGAGCTGGGCCCGAAGGAGAGGTTCCTTTCTTTATTTATTATTTTAAAATACAAGATCTTGCCATGCTAAAATTCTCCTACTTCGACCTTTCAGCTGGGACTATAGGTAGGCATTACCATGCCTGGCTCTTTTTTTATTAAATTAAATTAAATTAATTAATTTAATTTTTAAGTTTGCCAGAGTATGTGCATGCTTGTCAGAGAGAAACAGAGAAACACAGGGACAGGGAAAGGGAGAAAGCACCCCTTAATGATGCATGGTCATGCTGCAATCCCTTCTTTATTTCTACGTCTTGTCAGGACTTTGTGCAATGCATGCATAAATGCCTGGCATGTTTTTCAAGTCACCAGGGCTAGGATTTGGACTATTTGGTTAGCCATGTTAACCAGCTCCCTTAACCACACACCATGATGCCCACCACTAATACAGTTTAAAATATAATTGAGAGCATTAATAGCAGGCTAGATCAAGCAGAAGACAAAAATTCTGAACTTAATCTCTTAGCTCTCAGATTAGGACCATATCTGTTAGTAAGTGTCTTACAGAAGGCAGCAAAATGGGGACCAAGAAGAAAGTGACTAATTCATTTTCTAAGACTGGTATGATGTGAAAGCGCCTGCTATGTTCAATATAAGAAATATTGGAAAAACACTAGTCACCAGAACTCAAGGACCCAAAATTGCATCTGATGGCCTTAAGGGCTGTGTGTTTGAAGTGAGCCTTGCAGATCTTCAGAATTATAAAGTTGCTTATAGGAGTTTTGATCTAATTACTGAGGATGTTTGGAGCAAAAATTCCCTGACTTACACAGCATGGATCTTACCTGTGACAAAATGTGTTCCATGGTCCAAAAAATGGCAAACCATGGGATCAGCAGATGGCATAATGGTTACAAAGATGGACTCCCACGTAGTCGACCACAGTTTATTCGAGTGCCAGCACCGGCAACTTTAAACTCATGCTGGGTGTATGTGTGTGCATGCCCAAGAGCCTGAGAGGAGAATGGAAGAGAAAGGAATGCAGCATGGCCATCCCCCGGGGGGTGATTTCTTCTTTCTGTCTCTCTGTATTTTTTGTCTCTGTTGTGAGCACATGTGCCCTATAGTAAGAAATCTCTCTTTAAAAAAAAATTGGTAGACCATGACTGAAGTTCATGTTGAAGTCAAGACTACTGACAGTAATTTGCTTTGTCTCTGTGTTGATTTTACTAAACATACACCAATCAGATGTGAAAAATCTCTTATGTTCAACATCAACAGGTCTGCCAACTCTGAAGATGATAGAACTTGTGACCTGGGAGGTGCAGACAAGAGATTTGAAAGAAGCAGTCAATAAACTGATTCCAGGCAGCATTGGAAAAGATGTCAGTCCATGATGTCTTCGTCAGAAAAGTAAAAATGCTGGGGAAGTCCAAGTTTGAATTGAGAAAACTCATAGAGCTTCATAGTGAGGCTACTGGGAATGAAATGGGCACTAAAGTTAAATGTGCTGATGGATATGAGCCACCAGCCCCAGAATCTGTTCCAAGTTTGGTCTTTCAAAAGTGACAAATAAGGTCCTATTTGTGAAAAAAAAGAAAGAAATTCTGAACTTGATCTCTTGATATAACCTAGTCACACCAAAGGGGGGAAAAGAAATAAAGAAAAGAAAAAAAAAGAATAAAAAGGAATAAATAATGCCTATGGGAACTATGGTACACCACTAAACACACAAAATATTAGCATCATGGGAGTTTTAGAAAGAGAAGAAACACAAAAAGTAATAAAAAACCTATTTCATGAAATAGAGCTGAATATTTCCCAAGTCTTGGGACAAATACAAACATTCAGATTCAGAAAACACAAAGAACACCAAGTAGATCCCATCCAAAAAGATCTGCACTGAGACACATTACTGGTACATTATCAAAAGTCAAAGACAGAGAATCCTAAAAACAGCAAGATGTAAGTGCCAAGCCACATTTAAGACTCTCCACTGGACTAATAGCAGATTTCATTGTAGAAGCATTAGAGGCCAGAAGAAAATGGGATAATATATCCAAAGTGCTGGGAAAGAAAAGAAAACAAAGCAAACAAACAAATAAAACTTCCCACTAAGAACGCTATACTCAGAAAAGCTATACTTTAAATGAGAGAAGAAATAAAGTCTTTTCCATACAACCAAAACCAAGATTTTATCATAACTAGTTTGGCTTTTCAAAAATATTATTTATTTATTTACTTCAATGTCTTTTTTTTTAAGCGTATGAAAATGTATTACTATTGTGTTTTCATCATCAAAATTTATGATCTTGGTCTTTCCTTGTTGCCTTTGTATAGAGCCAAGAGAGACACATTGACTACTTTGACAACCTTAAATAGGACTCCAGAAATGTCACCAACAGTATGACCTTTTCGGCCAAATCTAGCAACCAAAACTTCATCGTTTTCCTCAATAAGTTCAATCAACCACTGTTGTGTACAAAAGCTGTGATCTTCTTGCTATTCTTGATTAGTCTGGACTCTGACAGGCTTTCTGCTGGCAGAATTCGGTTGTTTGGCTTCAACCCCTACTTTCTCCAGCACAATTCCCTTAGCATGGGAAGCACCTCCAAAAGCACTGACCTTCAGGGCTGTACCCAAATGGGCTTCCTTATACTGTTTATCATGCCATTTCTGGCCCCATCAGTGACTACGGAGCTTCCTGGCAGTACGAAGACCACGACACTTGCCCATCCTGCTGGTGCCACAAGCCCAAGCAAAAAGTTCGATTTCTTTTAGACATTCAATCTCATATGTCACTTAGCTTGCAAAGTGAACATTCCAGCACGTATACATTTCTCACCAGTCCAGTTGAGAATACTATAGACGTTATCTTCAACAGATAATATCCAAAAATATTTATGGGGGCCAGCAGGTGGCATAGTGGTTAAGGCATTGGATTCCCACCGACTGCAATTTAAGTCCTAGACCTGGTAGCTTGAAAATCACACGGGGTACGTGTCTGTGTGTGTGTGTGTGTGTGTGTGTGTGTGTGTGCCCAAAAATCCCAAGAGGAGAATGGAGGAGAAGGGATTGTACCATGATCATTCCTATAAAATGCAATTTGTCTCTCCCTCTCTGCATCTCTCTCTGATGAGTGCATACTCCCTATGGCAAAAACCTTAAAAAACTTGAGAGCCATTCTTTCATAAACAAAATGAAGATAACTAGCATCATGATCATGTGAATGTGTGACACTCACTGGTAAATCAGACTCATGAATAAGAGAGAAAAAGTAATCAAGTCATATTACCATAGAACACCACCACAACACAAAGATAAACAATAAAAAAAAGAAGAAAGGAACAAAGGAAATGCAAAGCCCATCAATGCAATGACAGGAGAAAATCCACATCTATTATTCATAACCTTGAATCTAGATAGAATCCTCAATCAAAATGTATAGACTACCTGAATGGATAAAAAACAAGGTGCAGCAGACCAGCAGTTAGTGTAATGACTATGTCGCTGGACTCCCATGTAGTCTACCGCAGTTCAAGTCCTGGACCCAGTGGCTTAAACTCACGCCGGGTGCATGTGCATGTGTGCCCAAGATCCCGGGAGAAGAATGGAGGAGAAGGGATTGCGGCATGGCTATCACCCCGGGCATGATTTCTCGCTTTCTGTCTCTCTAGCTCTGTCTTTCTGGCAAGCGCACGCACCCTATAGCAAAAACCTCTCCAAAAAAAATAAGTAAATAAAGCAAGGTGCAGGTATGTGCTAATTATAAAAAAGTCACCTTATCTGTAAAGATATCTAATAGATTGACAATGAAGGGATGGAAAAAGATATTCTATGCACATGGAAAGCTAAAGCAAGTAGGAGTACTATATCGATATCAGGTTAAATTGACTTCAAGTCAAAATCTATAAAAAGAGACAAAGAGGTTCATTATATAGTGATAGAATCTATTCAGCAAGAGGATATAAAATATATAAATATATGTACACTAAGTGCCCAGATACATAAAGTAAATATTTCTACACTTAAAGGGAGAAATAGACTCAAATGCAATAATAGTCAGGGGTTTCAACACCCCATACTTAACATTAGCCAGGTCACCTACACAGAAAGTCAACCAAGAAGCATCAGATTTAAATTGCAATGGACCTGTGACGTTTACAGAATATTTTATCCAATAATTACAGAATACGCATTCTTCTCATCAGTATATGGAACATACTCCAGGATAGACCATATGTTAGATAACATTTAGCCTCAAAAATTTGAAAATAAAATAGAAATAATCTCTATCAAGTCTCTTGTGATCACACAAAATAAAACTAGAAATCAACAAAAGCAACTTAGGAAACTATATAAATAAATGGAAACTAAACAACGTGCTCCTGAATGGCTACTGGGTCAATAAAGAAATTAAAAAATTTAAAGACTTCTTGAAACAAATGAAAATGGAAACACATCAAAATCTATAAGATACTGCAAATGTAGCATTAAAAAGGAAGTATAGAGGAATAAATGCTCACATCAAAAAACAAACAAACAAAAATAAATAAGTAACCGGCTCCATAGTGTGATTATGTGCATTGGGAGCTAGATTTCACATGCCCAACTGTAGTGCAAGTTCCAGCCCTGGCAGGTTGAAAAACATGCAGGGATCATATGCGTGCATGTCCTAAACCCTTATAAGGTGGAGAATGGAAGGATTGTAATACTAACACACCTCATTGGAAGGTGCATTCTCTCTCTTTCTCCCTCCTTCCCTGGTGAGTGCACATATTCTGTGACAATTTATAGAATGATTTCAAATAAACAACATGACTGTGCATCTTAAAAAACTAGAAAAGCAGGAACAAACGATCAAAAACAGTAAGAAGGGACCAGCTCATGGTGTGGTGGTTAAGGTAACTGGATCTCACATGACCATCATCAGTACAGTTCAAGTCCCAGACCTGCTGGCTTGAGAAACATGCTGGGCATGTGTGTATGCATGCCCAAAATTCCAAAAGGACGATGAAATGGAGGAGAAGGAAATGGTATGACCACAGTCCTTCAGGGGTGCTTTCTCACTTTCCCCTTCTCTCTCTGCCGTCTCTGGAAAGCATGCATGCCTTCTAGAAACTTTTTTTTAAAATGAATTTGCCTTTTTTAAAGGATTTTGTCATAAGGCATGTGTACTTACTGAAGAGAGACAGAGACAGTGAGAGGGAAAGTGAGAAATCATCCTCCAGGGGGGATGGCCATGCTGACTCCCTTCTTCATTCTCTTCCTGGGATCTTGGGCATTCACACACACATGCCTAGCATGCTTTTCGAGTCACCAGATCCAGGACCTGAACTGCAGTCAGCCATGTGGGAGTCTAGTACCTCAACCACCATGCCACCAGCTACCTCCCACCACAAATTTTTTAAAAGTAATTTTAAAAGAAATAATAAAGATAACAGCAGAAATAAATGAAATAGAAACCTTCCTGAAAGGTATACAAGGTTAACAAAATAAAAAGTTGAACTTTTGAAAAAGTAACCAAAATTGACAAACTATTAGCTAGATTAAAAGAGAGAGAAAAAGAGAGAACACCCAAATAAATAAAATCTGAAACAACAAAAAAAGGAGACACTACAACTGATATCACAGAAATACAAAATATCATTAGACTGTTACAAATAACTATTCATCAACAAGTTGGAAAACCTAAAGGAGATGGATGAATTCCTGGACACATACAATCTACTAAGATTGAACCAGGAAGAAATAGAAATCCTGAACAGGCCAATAACAAGCATCAAGTTGAATCTGTAATAAAAGATCTCCTAACAAAGAAAAACCCAGGACCAGATGGCTTCACTGCTGAATTATACAAAACTTTTAAAGAAGAACTAAGAAAGATTTTCCTCAAATGCTTCTGAAATATTCAAGTGAAAGGAGTGAATTCTCCCAAAATCATTTTATGAAGTCAGCATTACCTTCATACACACACACACACACACACACACACACACACACATACACACTCTCACACACATAACTCCTGGCCCCTCAAAACAAAACAAAAGACAAAAACAAAATGAAAAAGAAACTATAGAGCAATATTCCTGGTAAACTTAGATGCAAAAATCCTAAACAAAGTTCTAGCAAACCAAATTTAACAGCACGTGATAAAGATTATACACCATGGGGGCCAGCAGGTGGCATGGAGGTTAAGGGTTCTGGACTCCCTCATGGTCAACTGCAATTCGAGTCCTAGACTTGGGTCTTGCTTTCCCACTTTCTATCTCTCTCTCTCTCTCTCTCTCTCTGTCTCTTTCTCTCTCTCTCTGGTAAAATTAAATAAATAAAATAACTTAAAAAAAGATTATACACCATTTATCTTAGGGATGCAAAGATGGCTTGACATCGGAAACCAATGAGCATGATACATCACATCAACAGAAGGAAATATAAGAATCATTCAATCATATTAAATAACTCATGAAGAAGCATTAGACATCTTTTATTATTAAGGCTCTCAGTAAACTGGGTGTAGAAAGCACATATCTCAACATAAGAAAGGCTGTGTATCACAAACCCACAACTAATAACATACTGAATGCAAAAAGTTGAAAGCTTTTCACTATGAATTGAAGCAACACAAGGATGTGAAAAAGAAGACACCAGAAAATGGAAAGACATCCCATATTCATGTATTGAAAGGACAATATTGTTAAAAATGTCTCTATTATTGAAAGTAATCTACAAGCTCAATGGAATTTATATAAAAATACCAATGGCATTCTTCACAGAAATAGAAACAATAATAATAAAATTAATACGGAACCACAAAAGACACCAAATAGCCACACACACACACACACACACACACACACACACACACAAACCCTGTGCAAAAAGACAAAAGTGAGACATCACACCATCTGATTTCAAAATATGCTATAAAGCTAGAGTAACCCAAATATCATGGTACTGCCACAAAAACAGAAGCATAAACATACCAATGGAACAGAACAGAAAACTCAAAATTAAATTCACATATTTATGAAAGGGTCTTCACTATTTGAAATGGTTCCTACCTACTTAAAACCTACTC